TCCTAGATAATAGACAATCAAATATTCTCCTATGGATAGAGAATTCAGAAGGAAGAGATTATTTTGATAAAGGAAACCCACATTTTTGAAATGGGAAGAAGCTTTTAAATTTTTTCTTTTATACATATACAGGTATTGTGAAGCAGTTAATTTAGGGAAAAAAGAAAGAGAGGTATAACAGCAGCGAGGAGCATCTGGATGTGATGCTCTGTAGCATTCAAGTCAAAATGAAAAATCTGAATTTAGTCATGGTGAAAGTCAGACAAGCCTAAATTAAAGACCATTCTTTTTTTTTTTTCTTTTTTCAGACGGAGTTTCACTCTTGTTACCCAGGCTGGAGTGCAATGGCGCGATCTCGGCTCACCGCAACCTCCGCCTCCCGGGTTCAGGCAATTCTCCTGCCTCAGCCTCCTGAGTAGCTGGGATTACAGGCACGCGCCACCATGCCCAGCTGATTTTTTGTATTTTTAGTAGAGACGGGGTGTCACCATGTTGACCAGGATGGTCTCGATCTGTTGACCTCGTGATCCACCCGCCTCGGCCTCCCAAAGTGCTGGGATTACAGGCGTGAGCACCGCGCCCGGCCTAAAGACCATTCTATGAAATAGCCAGCCTGTATCCTTCAGTTATGTTAATGTCGTGTACATTATATTATCAGGATATATTTGGATCAGGGAAGGGTTTTTTTGTTTTGTTTTGTTTTTGTTTTTTTTTACCACTGCATCCCAGCCTGTGTCTAGAAAAAAAGAAGATTCTGAAGTTTTGACTATGAGACTTATTGGTATCTATTGGTGGCTTGTAAATGTTTATAAGTTCATTTGTATAGTTAAATTCCATTTTAACAAGAACTAATATGGGGCAAAAAGTTTTCAACAATAAAATTATTTCTAAGCCCAGGCCAGTGGTTTAGAGCATTAGTGCCTTGTTGATCTCATCGCAACAAAATTCTCTCTTTTTTTTTTTTTTTCCTAACCCTAACCCTGTCCCTAGACTTTGACTCTGACCCTAAACCCCGATCCATACCCTGGTCCCTAATTCTGACCCTGACTTTGATCTTGACCTTGACCATGACCACACCTCTAACCATAATTCCAGCCCTGACCCTGACCCAGACCCTAATTCTTTTTTTTTTTTTTTTTAGGGAAAAAGAGAAAAAGAAGGGGAAAAAAAAAGAGGGAAAAAGGAATATTACTTCATTCCTAAAATGGGTTTCAATAATGGCCGATCAATATTTTGAATGTTTAAAGTGGTTAATGCATATTTTATGTGTTTAAAATGGAGACCTCTATTGTGTTTATTTGTTCTGGCTCTGAGTTCAAATCCTGGATATCGTTATCAATTTGTTGTCTCGTTGAATCTAAATCTCACTATGTGTCTTATGTATCTGGGTGTTAAGATCTCTTATTGTTACATTAATCCTTTTACTCTTGTATCCTTATAGCTTTGAAATCTATTTTGTCAAATGTGAAAATTGCAACTCCTGCTTTTTATTTATTTATTTTTGCTCTCCATTTGGTTGGTACGTTTTTTTTTTCCAACCCTTTATTTTGAGTCTATGTATATCTTTGGATATACCGTTGGATTTTGTCTGTATCTTTTGATTGGGAGATTTGGTTGATTTAACTTTAGGGTTGCTGCCGTTTGATATTAACTGGCTATTTTGTCCTTTTGTTGATAAAAATTCTTCTTTATGTTAATGCTCTTTACTTTTTGGTGTATTTTTAGAAAGGATCATACTGGTTGTTCCTTTCTGTGTATAATGCTTCTTTTAGAAGTTCTTGTAAAGCAGGCCTGGTGGTAATAAAATCTCTGAGTACTTGCTTGTTCCTAAAAGATTTTATTTTTCCTTCAAATGTAAAGCTTAAATTGGCAGGATATGAAATTCTGGGCTGAAAGTTTTGTTCTTTAAGTATATTGAATATTGGCCCCCACTCTCTTCTAGCTTGTAGGGTTTCCGTTGAGAGATCTGCTGTAAGCCTAATAGGCTTACCTTTATGGGTAACTTGATCTTTCTCTCTGGCTGCCCTTAATATTTTCTCCTTCGTTTCGATCTTGGTGAATCTAACGATTATGTGCCTTGGGGTTGGTCTTCTTGAGGAATATCTTTGTGGTGTTCTCTGTATTGCCTGGGGTTGAATAGTGTCCTGCTTTGCTAAATTAGGAAAATTTTCCTGGATAATGTCCTGGAGAGTATTTTCCAGCTTGACTTCATTCTCTCCGTCACATTCAGGTACACCAATCAAGCGTATATTAGGTCTTTTCACATAGTCCCATATTGCTTGGAGACTTTGCTCATTCCTTTTTATCCTTTTTTCTCTATTCTTGTCTTGTCGTTTTGTTTCATTAAGTTGGTCTTCGACCTCTAATACCCTTTCTTCTGCTTGATCCATTCGGCTGTTTAAGCTTGTACATATTTCACTAAGTTCTCGTGTTGTATTTTTCAACTCCATAAGTTCATTTGTATTCCTCTCTATATTGTCTATTCTTTTCAACATTTCATTGAACCTTTTTTCCAAGTTCTTAGTTTCTTTACATTGGGTTAGAACAAGTTCCTTTAACTCCCAGAAGTTTCTTATCATCCACCTTTTAAAGCCTACTTCAGATAATGGAACACAGTCCTTTTCCATCAGGGCTTGTTCCGTTACTGATGAGTCCTCTTCCATCAGGGCTTGTTCGGTTGCTGATGAGTCCTTTTCCATCAGGGCTTGTTCCGTTGCTGATGGGTTCTGATTTTGAGTATACTCGGCCTTCTTAGGCTGTTTTTTTCCCTTCATTATAGATGAACCGCCTTTCTAATTAGTTTTCTGAGTCGACGTCCGACTTACTGATTCCCAGTGCTGGGATCAGAGCAACCCACTGTGGCGGCCTAAATAGCAGCGATAAGACTGATGGTGCTCTTCTGCCCGGGAATCTCTGGTCTGGCTTCCCTCTTGAGTCTGCAACAAGCGGCTCTGACTTCCCGGAGCTCCAAACTCTGGTCAGTAGGGGAAGCAGTCCCGTTGGCTCTGCGTGAAGAGCTGCTGCGCCGAGACGCCGGCAAAACCGCTGTGGCGGCCACAAGAGTCGCGCTGGCGACCCTTGGGGCTCCTCCACTGGGAATCGGCTGATCGGTGAGTGATGAAAATTCGTCTAAAGATGTGGCGTCGTCTCGTTCTCTGAGCTTTCACTGGGAGCTACAATCCTGAGCTGTTAGTGGTCGGCCATCTTGAATCGATCTCTCAGGGAAGGGTTTCAAATTGAAGGAAACTGTAAAGAGAAAACAAATGAAAGTTGTGTGACTCTGGGTTGGACCCTGTTCCAGAAGAAAAAAACTGTGATAAATTACAACATTGGGACAGTTGATTAAAGAGACAGTGGGCTCTAGATTAGATAAATATATTGCCTCCATGTCAATGTTAAATGTCCTGAATGTGATGATGGTACTGTGGTTACGTTTAAAAATGTCTTTTTTCCTTAGAAAATACACATTAGAATTAAGGGATGATGTATGTACTCTCATACGGCTCACAAAAAAATAGCTGTTAAGAGAGAAAGACAAGTGTAGCAAAATGTTAAATATTACTGAATAAAGGGTATATAGGTGCCGTGGGCGCACCTGCTGGGATGGCTTCAGTCAAAAGCGCACACTAGTGAGTGTCTGTGGGAATGTGGGAAATGGGAGCCTCAGGGACTGTTGGTGGGAATATGACATGTGCTAACACCAGAAGCCAAACATCGGGTCACCATATGGCCCAGCCCCTACACTCCGGTACATACACTCAAGGAAACAGCCCACGTCCACCTGTACCCAAGAACAACAAGAGCAAGAACCTGGACCCCAATGTTCGTGGCCACATTAGTCACAAGAGCCAAAACGTGGACACAGCCCCAGTGTCCACAGTGAAGCAAAGTGCGGTCTACCCAGACAGTGAATTATTTTTCAGACATAAAAAGGAATGAAGTGCCCATTCACATGAGGCATGGATGGGCCTTGAAACATGATGCCCAGTGAAAAGACCAGTCACTAACGGCCATTCATTGAATGAAACATTCCCTTTATGCGAAATGTCCAGAACAGGCAAATGCATGGAGACAGAAAGCAGATTAGTGACGGGGACGGGGCGGAGAGGGAACGGAGTGTGACTGCCTCGGTGGAAACGGGCTTCCTTTCAGGATGAAGGGTACGTGCTCGAATGAGGTCCTGTGATGGTTGCACAATGTTGTGAGTACACTAAAAACCGCTGAACCGCGTCCTTTAAAAGGTCCGTTTTATAGTGTGTGAATTATATCTAAAAAAAAAGCCACCAAAGGGCCTTGAATGACATCACTGAATGGGGTGCAGTGTGCCTGTATGTATGGGGATGGAGTGCAGCGTGCCCATGTGTGTTGGTGCCTGGTATGTATGGGGGTGGGGGGGACGCATGCCCATATGTGTTGGCCCCTGGTGTGTATGAGGTGGGGGACGTGTGCCCATGTGTGTTGGCACCTGGTGTGTATGGGGGTGGTGGGACTCATGCCCATATGTGTTGGCACCTGGTGTGTATGGAGGTGGGGGGATGTATGCCCATGTGTGTTGGCACCTGGTGTGTATGGGGGTGGGGGATGTATGCCCATGTGTGTTGGCACCTGGTGTGTATGGGGGTGGTGGGACTCATGCCCATATGTGTTGGCACCTGGTGTGTATGGGGGTGGAGAGATGTATGCCCATGTGTGTTGGCACCTGGTGTGTATGGGGGTGGGGGATGTATGCCCATGTGTGTTGGCACCTGGTGTGTATGGGTATGGGGGGGACATGAGGCCATGTGTGTTGGCACCTGGTGTGTATGGGGGTGGGGGGATGTATGCCCATGTGTGTTGGCGCCTGGTGTGTATGGGGGTAGGGAATGCATGAAGTAGACCCTGGGAGAGGAGTGTTGCACAGATGCAGGTTCTGGGGACACGTTGGCCCACGGAGACCTCTGCACTGAGACACTCTGATGTTCCGTAGTGAGTGAAGCAAAATAAAAATAAAAACAAACGCATTGATACAAAGCAGCTTCATGTTCCTGCACTTGAACTTTGATACAACCTGAATCTTCTGTGCCAGTTTCGAGGGAAAGAAAAAGCCCAGTGCACCTCTCCATCCTTTCGTCAGTGCATCTAGTAAGCACAGCCCTTATCTGAGACTGCTTACGGGCGCAGAGCACAGGTGTGTGCGCTGAGACACACACACACACACACACACACACTCGTCCCTTGTCGCAGGGGAGAAGCGGAAGCATGATGCGGGCACCCCATTGTAAACCACAGGCCCAGGGGTGGAAGTGCTTCCTGGTGTTGGCAGGGGAAGGCTGAGCCCACCCCTGTTCAATTTATGGCATGTCCCCTGGAGGAGCCACCAGGAGTAATGCCTTCACGGAGTTCCCTCCCCGTGGGCTCCATACTAGTTCCCCACACCTGCACGTGGCAGACGCTCCATAACTATTGAGTTGAATAAATTGACCAAGTTAGCAAACACTTGTTAGTTTTGAGCAGCCCCAGAATCTTTTCCTGTGGGGAACTGCCTAGAATCTCCAAACATGGGCTCGCTTCCCACACACGGGGCTGGCGCCTTCACCTGGGTTGTCATGATCCTTCTCAGACACGATTCTGGGCCCTGGGAGAGAGGGATTCTTGCCTTCTGAGATCACAGGCATCAGAGAACTGGGTTTCTGTATCCTTAGAATGTCCATCCCTGGGAGGCTGGATCCGCCACAGGCAGAGCTGGAGCAGGCTGAGGACATTCCTTGCCCCTGGAAGGGGTGCTTCCTTTGTTTTGCTTGAGTCCTTAGAGTTGGTTCCTGTCACTTGCAACTGGGAAAAGTCCTGACTAACACAGAGAGAAACAGTGATTATCTTCATTTTACAGATGCAAAAGCTGAGGCTTCGAGCCTTGGGAAAGGCACTGAAATGTCTAGTGCCTTGCTCTCCTGCGTACAAGGAGGATGGTAGTAAGACCGAGGGTTCCCTACAGAATTGGGCTGGCAGGAGAATTGAGTAAAACAAGTTGTGAGATCTCTTGTCGTGGGGCCTGATACAAGCTAAGTGCTGGGTTAAAGTTAGCTATTGATATTATTACCTAGTGCTTGACAAGCCTCCTCAGGTCACACAGCAAGTAAGTAGCGAGGTCAGGATTTGAACCCAGGCTGTCGGTTTCAAGCCTGGCTGCCTTTGGTGAGTGAGAGGATACAGTGGGAGAAGAGGAAAAGTGGAAACAGCCTTGGGAGGGCTGATTAGGATCGGAGCTGGAGAGCCTTGAATGCCATTGAAAGGGATTTAGATTTTATCTCTCACATAATCGAATGCCCTCGAAGTAAATCCAGAAGATTATTTTGGCAGGGGCATGAAAATCTAGAGTCAAAACCAGGGACACCCAGCCTTTTAGAAAGCCTTTCAACAGTCTGATGACATGGAGATGAAGTACTGAAACAAGGAAGAGGTCCCAGAAATCCAGACAGGGACTGTCATTCCAGACTAGCTGTCCTCGAGAGGGGAGGGCTTGATTATTATGCTTTGGATGTCATCTCCTGAACTGGGGCCAACGGCTAAACCCCACACAGGAGAAATCACTGTGCTACAAACACATCTTCAATGCAGTTTGAAATAATTCAGTAACTTCCAGAAAGACAGTGGTTCTGGGCAGCACTCTCGAGGCACCCCTCGATACTCGCCCTTTCAAGCCTGCAGGGCAGAATGCTGATGCCATCCACTGGACGGAGGGGTGGGTTTGGGAGTTCAGATAATAAGCTCCTGTTCCGACGTGTGCGTGAATGGGAGGAGGAAGCTGAAATACAGGCCTGGAGAAGTCAGCGCTGGGGCGTTGGGTATGGTCAGCATGGAGGGATGGTTGAGATTGGGATGAAGCTGAAATACAGGCCTGGAGAAGTCAGCGCTGGGGCGTTGGGTATGGTCAGCATGGAGGGATGGTTGAGATTGGGACTAAAGGGAGAGGGACCAGGAAAGCTCCTGGGAGGAGTGCCCACAGTGTGAACCCAACGGCAAGCAGACCTCAGCCCAGAGGAGACCTAAGATACCCCACACCTGTGAGAGACAAAGCAGGTTCACAGCCCTCCGGGCTTCTTGGTCCTGTATTTGTATTCATTTGCTAAAGCGGCCTCAATGAGAAAACACAGACGGGTGGCTTATGTGACAGAAAGCGACTTCTCACAGTCCTGGAGGCTCCAAGTCCCAGATCGGGGTGTTGGTGGGATCGGTTTCTCTGGAGGCCCCTCCTTGGCTTGCTGAGGGTCGCTGTCTCCCGCTGCATCCTCACCCGGCCTTTTCTCTGAGGGTGCATGTTTCTGGTGTCTTTGTGCGCCTGAATTTCCTGTTAAGAGAACACCAGTCACACTGGGTGACAGCCACCCTAACGGCCTCATTCTAACTTCATCACCTCTCAAAAGGCCTATCTCCAAATGCAGTCCCAATCTGGGGTACTGGGGCCTAGAGCTTCAACATAGGAATTCTGGGGACATGATTTGGCCCATTACAATATCGAAGGTTGGTGAGCTCCTCCTCCTCTTCTGGAGAAGAGGCTACATCCTGGAAGCGCAAGCAGGCACTTAGGGACACCATCGCTCCTCTGGAACTGGGGCTAGTCCCCAGTGTGCTCTACATCCTGCCTGGGGAAGCCAAGAAGCCCCCGTGTGCCCAGAAATGAAGCCGTCGACACCCATGGGTTCCTTTCTCCCAGCACAGAGGTGGCTTGTTTCAGCAGAACAGTGGAGCACACAGAAGAGTCCTTCTTTCCATGATCCTCAGACCAGAAGGTGAGGAAGATTTCCTGCCTGGGAAAGAGCCTTGAGAGGGACAGGCCAACCCAGGGCACGGGTTTGGAGCATGCTCTCTGACTTCCTCTTTGAATTACTCAGAGGTCTTACCACAGATGCTCAAATGCACAAATGGACAGGGCACGTGTGTGTGGAGGGAGCAGGGCGTGCAGAAGAGCAGTGGGCAGGTTCACTGGTCCCCGCCCTCCTGAGGATTTTGGGGGAGCTCGGCCTTGGCCCCGGGCATGCGTTGAGACCTCCTGCCCTCTAAGCTGGAAGAACACACACTGCTTGGCAGGAAGAAAAGGCCCTATCCTTTGTATCCCGATTCTTTTTCCAAACTTAGGGAGGGGGTTCCCCTAGAATAACTGGTTGGTAACTGGACAAGGATATCCCTGAATCCAAATCTTTTAAATCACATCTCTTTTTTGTTGTGTGGATACACCCAACTGAAGACATCCATTCCTTTGCATATACAGAATTTCAGCATTGTCTACGGCTTACCTACCCAAGCTATTTTTTAGTTGTCTTTATCTAAAAAAAAAAAAGAAAAAGAAAAAGATGCCATCACTGAAAGCAGTGCTGTGTTGGGGGCAAGCAAGGGCTGTGTATTTGCAAGAGCCAGGCAGAAGCACCAGCTCGGAGGAGGCTGGGCGGTCATGCCACAGTGCCAGCCTCAGTTTCAGTCTTCTGCTGTGGGTAATAACGGCCAGTCTTCACGCAGGAGAGGGAGGCAGAGGAATGGACATTGTAAGAATTAGTAGTACACAAAATATTTCCCAATGGTCTGAAAGCCTCAATGTGCCCAACTAAAGAGTACCTGAAGATCGAGGCTTGCCGTCAGGAGGAAGAGCCCATCTCAGAATCCAGCCCAGGGCTTGTGGGCTGGAGAAAGGGACAGGTCCCCCTGTTTCTCCTCCTGTGTCCCTCAGCCATCCTCCTTCAGTGTTCCCAGATGGCATGGTGCCAGTCACGTAACTGGAGTGTTGGGTGCCCTCGTTGGGCCCTGCAGGGACTCATGGCAACAAGACAGAGGGCAGGTGCATTGAACGTGGGTTCAGAAGCCTCAGCCCCAACCGGGGCTATTCTGCACTGTGGGCTGGAACCTTTCATGGGGCAGCGCTTGGGGTCCCCTCAGGGCCAGCTTCCTCCTTTGTAAATAAGGGCAGGAGGGATGTAAATCACTGATTTAAGTCAGGGGTTCTCAAATTCTAGTGCAAGAACTGGTGCTGGACTGTGGAAAAATATCCATTTTCACAGGTTGATGTAGAAACAAGAAAACCACCACAACAAGAAAGTAATGATTTTGTCCTAAAGCTAATTTATTTTCATTAAAATGCTGAGAAGTTCTGTTTTGTTATAATTTACTTCGCATGTGAATTCTATCACGGCGGTGAGATGGGTGATACGTGTTCTAATTACTCCATTTGAGTGAATAAAAAGCAACTCAATACAGGTCTTCAAACCTTTTTTTTTTCTTTTTTTTTTTGAGATAAGTCCTGCTCTGTCACCCAGGCTGGAGGGCAGTGGCACAATCTCAGTAGCTAGGATCACAGGCACCTGCCATCATACCTGGCTAATTTTTGTAATTTTGTAGAGATGGGTTTAACCATGTTGGCCAGGCTGGTCTTGAACTCTTGACCTCAGGTGATCCACCCACCTCGGTCTCCCAAAATGCTGGGATTATAGGCGTGAGCCACCGCACCTGGCCCCAAATCTTTTTTATAAAATTTATCAGCCTGTGAGATCCAAAACCCTGGTAACTACTAGATTAACTAAAGTCCAAATTTCCTTCTACTCGTGTCTATGGATTTAGCTGAGCAGAAGCGCCGGAGTGCAGTGAGATAGTTGAGAGTCAGATTTTAATTTAACCTTCAATACTAAGTCTGATTCACAGGCAATGAACATATGCGTTAGCGTTGGTTAAACCGAATGGATTGTTCTCTGCTGTGGTACCATGAATGGAAGACAGCAAAAACGTCATGCCCTCTTTCAGCAACTGTGAACAGTGAACTGCGATGGCAGCTGGTGGCCCACATCCTTTCAGAAAACCTTGAGGAGAGGACGTCTCTCCGCTCTTTTGCCTGGATACAGTCAGCACTCACTATCAGTCACTGACTATCGGTTCACGGGGTGCATGTCACCTGCTTCCATTTCAGAAATAGTTGTGACTTCCAGTCACAGGGAAATGAGTGGAGAATGAACCTGTGCTTGGAGAACAGTGGGTCGTTTCAAAGTCTGAGTTTGTGAGTTGCTTACATCATATTTGTTTCCATTCCCCGCGTGAGGGCCTATGCTGCCTGGAGGTAGAGAAATGACGGGAATGTGAATTGAGGCTGATCTTTTAAAGTTAAGTACTTTTGGCTAGAGCAGCTGCCGCCGAGTCCGGATCCCACTGCTGTGCGCCCCCGATGCCCGCCCGACGTGCATTCCTGGTTCCTTTTCGTTCCAAGTCCAAAATGGCAACTCTCAAGGATCAGCTGATTCATAATCTTCTAAAGGAAGAACAGACCCCCCAGAATAAGATTACAGTTGTTGGGGTTGGTGCTGTCGGTATGGCCTGTGCCATCGGTATCTTAACGAAGGACCTGGCAGATGAACTTGCTCTTGTTGATGTCATTGAAGACAAGTTGAAGGGAGAGATGGATCTCCAACATGGCAGCCTTTGCCAAAGATTGTCTCTGGCAAAGACCATAATGTAACTGCAAACTCCAAGCTGGTCATTACCACGCCGGGGCACATCAGCAGGAGGGAGAAAGCCGTCTTCATCTGGTCCAGCTTAACGTGAACATCTTTAAACTCATCATTCCTAATGTCGTAAAATACAGCCCGCACTGCAAGTTGCTTATTGTTTCAAATCCAGTGGATATCTTGACCTATGTGGCTTGGAAGATAAGTGGCTTTCCCCAAAACTGTGTTATTGGAAGTGGTTGCAATCTAGATTCAGCCTTATTCCATTACCTGATGGGGGAAAGGCTGGGAGTTCACCCATTAAGCTGTCATGGGTGGGTCCTCGGGGAACATGGAGATTCCAGTGTGCCTGTGTGGAGTGGAGTGAATGTGGCTGGTGTCTCCCTGAAGACGCTGCACCCAGATTTAGGGACTGATCCAGATAAGGAACAGTGGGAAGAGGTGCACAAGCAGGTAGCTGAGAGTGCTTATGAGGGGATCAAACTCAAAGGCTACACATCCTGGGCCACTGGACTCTCTGTGGCAGATTTGGCTGAGACTATCATGAAGAATCTTAGGCGGGTGCACCCAATTTCCACCATGATTAAGGGTCTCTGTGGAATAAAGGATGATGTCTTCCTTAGTGTTCCCTGCATTTTGGGACAGAATGGAATCTCAGACGTTGTGAAGGTGACTCTGACTCCTGAGGAAGAGGCTCGTTTGAAGAAGAGTGTGGATATACTTCGGGGGATCCAAAAAGAGCTGCAGTTTTAAAGTCTTCTGAGGTCACACCATTTCACTGTCTAGGCCACAACAGGATTTTAGCTGGAGGTTGTGCATGCTGTCCGTTTTATCCGATCTGTGATGAAAGCAGTCATACTTTAAGATGGACTGGGAAAAACCTCAATTCCTGAAGCCAGAAATAGGAGCGGTTTGTAAAGTCCTACAGCTACATCCTGATGCTGGATGGTGGTAACCTTGTGTAGTCCTAAACTGGTCAGTGTGAAATAGTCCTGCCACCTCTGAGGCACCACTGCCAGTGCTGCGCATGCTGCAGTTGCCCCTTGAGCCAGAGAGATGTTCATTTGTTATATAACTTCCTGGCTCCTGCACCGAACATGCCTAGTCCAACATTGCTTCCCAGTCGGTCACATCCTGGCATTCAGTGTATAGATCCAATATCGCATGTCTTGTTCCAAAGGATCTTGTTTTGTGAACTGTATATATCAGTAGTGTACATTGCCATACAAAGTAAGAAGATCTACATATAAACAGTGCAACCAACTATCCAAGCGTTACACCAACTAAAACCCCCAATAAACCTAGAACCGTGAAAAATAATAAATAAAGTCAAGTACCTTTACAATATGGAGCTTCACGAATTCTCAAAAGGCCCTGCTGGTTAGTTTTCTGTTTTTCCCACGTGTCCTGGGTCCCACCCAAAGGGTAAGAACACCCAAACTTTTTTTGCTTCTAGTCTAAGCTAGGGCTTTGTTTTCATAGAACTGTGCCCCGTCTCATTCTGTAATGGAATATAATTGCATGCTTGGATGCATGTATTTGAGTAACAGCCATCATCCCCTCTGGGTACAATGCACTAAGAGATCCGGATTAGGCCTATGGGTGTTGTCTTTGTGTATCCAGCACACTGCAGGCGTGCAATCAGTGTGTACTGGCTGGATGGTCAGGATGAAGTGCCAGGGCGCTCATCCCTGCTTCAGGGCACATCCTCAAAACGCACTTGTTCGTTCATAAGAACCAGTTTTCTGCTTCTCTCTGCCTTCGAATCTAATGGCTTCAAATTTACACTAAAACCGAATCACAGGGTTGATACTACCAGTTCCAAGACGAATGAGTTCTGGGAGTCTAATGTACAGTATTGTGGCTAGAGATGATGATACTGTATTGTATATCTGGAATTTGCTAAGAGAGTGGATTTTAAATATTCTTACTCTAAAAAGAAAGAAAAGAAGGAAAGAGGAAGAGAAGGAAGGAAAGGAGGAACAGAGGGAGGGAGGGAGGGAGGGAGAGAGACAAGAGAGGAGGGAGAGAGCGAAGGGAGGGGAGCGAGGGGAGGGAGGGGACGGAGAGGGGGAGGAAGGAAGGAAAAATTCATTGCTATATGGGCTTTGTTAACAGTCATAGTGGGATGTTAATGTAGGATAATAGTATTTTTTTAATCTTTTGAATTATTTCAGAAATAAAAATAATCCGTCCCCTCGAGCTTTGCCGGTCCCGAGCTCCTCTGCTCCTGGAGACCAGAACGGAGGAGTAGAGCAGTCCTCGGCGGCCCGGGGGTTAGGGTTAGGGTTAGGGTTAGGCCCCTCTCGAGGCCGCGCGAGGCACAGGAGAAAATGAAAAGAAATAATAATAATAATAATAATAATTCGCTCATCCTTTGAGACCCCCAGGAACGTTTCTCCAACACCCCCCAGCAGCCACATCTTTTAAAGCCCTTGCACTACTTTTTATTTCTGCACGAGTCCTCCCACTAGATCCTGAGTTCCCAAGGGGTGGGAATGCAGACAACAGACTGATGATTAAGTAGGGGCTAGTAGCGGGGGTGCCCAGAGCTGCGGCTCGCATCGGACCCTAGAAACTAGGTATTAAGTAATAAAAATGGTTTTGGATCGTTACAGAAGGAACCTACCCAAAAAGACTCACAGCATCCTGTTTCTCTGCGACATCTGCAAAGAACCGCCTCCGGGGATCTGACTCAGCAGTGGCCCCAGCGTAGGTCTGGGGCGCCTCCCGGGAGATGAGTGCCCGCTCAGCCTCCCTCCCGAGCCCGTCCTGCAGTTTAATCATGCTCTGCATCTATTCTAGGCCACGCTCATTTCCTGCGGTGGAAATTGGTTTCTGACAGTGTTCCTTTCACGTTTTAGTCTCTCCATGCTGATTCCACCCAGGCCTGTCAGTTCAAGGATGGCTCCTCCTCTGTGTCAGATGAGTGGCTCTGCCCGCACACAAGCCCCGCCCCTTCAGGAAGCCCCGCCCCCTCCCCGCCCCACCGGGCAAAAAGCGCCCCCAGTGTGGCTGACTATCCCCCACCTGCCTTCCAGGAAGGATGTACAAGGACGCAGCATTCCAGATGGGATTTGCTAACCACGGGGACACCTAGTGATGAAAGGGATGAAAAGCAGCCGTGCGGGCCCAGAATGTTCTTTTGAGTCTTTTTATTTTTCAGGGTTTATAAAATGCGTTATTTAGGATGAAGCACTCCAGGTCAGAGCCTCACCACGTGTTTTTGATTTGGCGTTTCTAGGGAAATTGGCTTTGGTCGCCGTCTCAACTGCATTGGATCTATGAGGGTGTATTTAAAAACAAAACAAAACTTCTTTTCAAAGTTCTCCATCATCAACAAAACATATTTTTAGAATCTTATAATTTGCAGGGCACGCTTAGGATTTGGCAAAACAGAGGCAACAAGAGGTTGGCGAAGAAACCTCAGCTCGTGTTCGGGAAACTGAAGTTTCGTTCCTGCCCTAAGGCTCGTCTCTGCGGCTGTGGGAAAGTCAGTGACCTCTCTGATCCTCAGTTGCCTGGGCTGTCCTGTGAGGCTCTTGAACTACAGGATCTATTTTGTCCCTGCTTGCCTCTGCCTTCTAATCTCTTTCCCAGACCTGCTCAAGTCTCAACCCCTAACTAGAAATGGATTAATTAACTTCACAGCCGAAAGAGAGCCATTCCAGCCTCCTCACTTGAGAAAACCAGAAAGGCTAACAGCACAGATCCAGAACTTGAACATTGTAAAAATGGGTGATGAACAGTCTTGCAATTGATTATTATATAGACGTCTTGGGGGCTGGTAGAAATCAGAGGAGTTGGAGGTGGAAGAAAAACAGAATCTGTCCTTGGAAACCTTTCTGGTACCTGAGCACTAGTCACGAGGGGACTGGGGAATGGACACGTCATTTCCATTTTCAAGGCTACCTATGAATTATGCATATTGTACACACAGGCAAAAGGGATGGATAATTGCCGGTTTGACCTCTGAGAAGAGAGACACTGGGTGAAAGGAACGTTGTTTGCTAGAGAGGGTAGAGCAGGGGCTTTTCAGCTCTATTTAATAAAGGAAATCTACTAATCATCTAGGCTATACCCACCCTACCTAACAGGCCAAGAAGCCAACACTCAGTGATTTAAGTCACTGGATCAAGAGCACACCATTGGCTGTGAAGTCAGAGAAATCCACTGCCAGGAGAAGCCATTCTAAAGAACAGGAAATTCATGGTGTTTACAGCGCAACTCATGCAATGATAGAGAGTTCAGTTTCCACGTTAATGTTGACAAAAGTCATGTAAAGCAATGTAAAAATGTGACAAATATTACCAACCGTTGTCTATACGTGCCTCCGTCATGTGCAGAGCCTCAGATATCCTTGAGAGAGCAGAAGAGAGACATGGTGCCTAGGTCCCCAGGGAGAGGCGATCCTTGGGATGCTATTTGTTTCTTGGACACAGTGTCTAACCAAGGACCAAGGCCCCTGTCCTTTAGAATTTTGGACTAAGTCATAAAACATTATATTTTAAATTTTCTGATATTTTAATCCAACAAACAGAACACCAATACCACTGAACTTTTCTCCCCACGTTTTTGCATACTGAAAGAGGTCGACATTACCGGCCTCATGATTTTCACTTTCCTCCTCCCTCACCCTCCACCCGCTTGTCCCTCCCTGAGGATGGCAGCCACAGTGCCTACGCACCTCAGCGCCTACACACAGGCTGCTCCTTTGCTCACGATACTCCAGAATCTACCCCATCTACTTCCCTGTCATCTTCAAGTTTCTGCTCAAATATCATCTTCGCAGGAGGTCTTCCCTGAGTATCCTATCTAAGATGCAACCCCACTCCTGGTTCCTTTTCCTTTGCATTATTATTATTATTTGAGGTGGAGTTTCGCTCTTGCTGCCCAGGCTGGAGTGCGATGTGCATTATTAGTTTCTTCGGTCTTCATAACCTTCTAACATTTTCGTTTTTTGTGTGTCTCCCCTCAAGTGTGTAAGCTTCATGAAGATCAGGGCTTGGGTGTGTTTTGTCCCCTGTGATGTCCACAGGTCCCAGCAGAGTGTCTGGCAGATAGTGCTGAATGAATATTTTTCTGAGTGCACACAAGCTTTTCTTCACTTTCTCTTTTCTGTCCCTGCTTGCCTCTGCCTTCTAATCTCTTTCCCAGACCTGCTCAAGTCTCACCCCCTAACTAGAAGTGGATTAATTAACTTCATAGCTGAAAGAGAGCCATTTCCAGCCTGCTCACTTGAGAAAATCAGAAAGGCTAACAGCACAGGTCCAGACCTTGAACTTGGATCTCACATTGCCTCCCTGCCGTGGTTCTCCCACAGTCCTGGATTCCTCCAGCCTGGTGTGCACCTCCCTTCTTCCCCCAGGGTCGAGCCCTCTCTACCTGTATGTGCCACACCTTCTTACACTTCATCTGAGCAATGCTGAACCCTGATTCTGCCACGAGTTAAGCATGTGGCCTTGGGCAAGTGACTTAACTTCTCTCTGCCTTGGGCTTCTCTCTTCTCAAGGGAAGAATAGCATTTCCCTTTGAAGATGTTCACAAGCCTCAACTAAAACGTAGGAAATGCCTCCCTCTCCTAGGTGTCTGGCCATTCCTTTCCCTTTCCCTGGCTTGTGGGGAGATGGTCATTTGCTCAACAGAAACGTTGTTTCTCAAGGTCTCTCTGTTGTCCCCATCCCCAGGCCTAAGCTCCCAGAAGACAATGAAGAAATCCTTGGGGAGTGAAAATGAGTTTTAAAGGGAGGATGGTGGCCTCCATAATGTGGGCATCCCACTGTCTGGGCTGGCTGGTGGATTCTAGCTCGCAGGCCTGGCACCCCTTAAGACTGATGATGAGGATGAACAAGGCCTCCAAGAGGCTAGATAAGGCAACATGGGGCATTTTCTGCCTTTCTCAGGGGCCAGCTTATTGGCAAAACATCTCAATTTCAAGGTAATGGGGCAGGAATCTTGACTTCCTCCAAGACCACTATAATGAGCATTTCTCAAAGTCTGCTCTTCAGTATCTAAAAACAAAACAAGTGAGGGTGTCATGTGATTTTTAAACAGTTTACAAAGTACTAGGTTAAAGAGTGACCCAACTGCATTTATGCAGGAGTTCCCAGAGACGTTGTCAAGTGTATGTGCATTATGACTCTCCAAGAAGGATGGAGGCATACTCACGCTGAAACAGTTTCCCAGGATATTCGGTCAAGATACCCTTTCTTTCCAAGGAGCAGCTGTTATGCTATACACCACATTCTGGGGAAATACAGCTCTAGACAAACTCAGATTGGGGCATGAAAGCTGAGCCTGGAGACACGAAGCGGCTTGGCCAAGATTGAACAAATAATGGCAGAACCAGGGCTACAATTCAGTGCCCTGGTGTGTTTCCCAGTGCTCTTCCTTCTGCATGGCACTGAGGTTGGTGAAGACCTTCAAATCAGATCAGCTCCAGTGACAGTGCCTGGGGTTTTCACTGGAGAAAATACGCTGGCATGAAATGTAACCAGCAAGACAGCCTTACTAGAGATAAAATATGAAAGTGTATATGTGAGTGTGCATGTGCGTGTGTGCATGTGCACGTGTGTGCACGTGTGTGCATGGTGCATGTGAGTGCATATGTGTACATGGGAGTGTGTCCATGAGTGTGTGTGTGCATGTGAGTTTATGTGTGTGTGTGACTATGTACATGTGTGTGTATGGGTGTGCGTGTGTGCACGTGTGTGCATGTGTGCGCATGTATTTGTGTGTGTTTCAGTGTGCCTGTGATTGTGTGTGCATGTGAGCATGTGTACATGTGATTGCGTGTGTGTGCGTGTGAGCATACATGATGTGTGTGCGTGTAAATGTGCATGTGAATGTGTGTGTGCGTGTGAGTGTGCATGTGTGTGTACATGTGTGTTTTGCAGGGTTAGCAGCAACAGCACTGAAGGACCTATTCCCACCCAAGGTGGTTGCATGGTCCTTGCAAGCCTCGCTGAAGAGCTCTCCCCTAGCCCAGCATGGTCCCTGCAAGTCCCGGTGAAAGAGGATCTCCCCCAGCCCTCCCCTGACTTTTCCTGTTTCCAGGCACAGTGAGTGATACACTGAGCTTTCATCAATGGTGAGAGCACTCCCTGGCCCAGTGTGGAAGACTGAGTGCAGCCCCTAAAGAGATCCATGTCCTCATCCCCAGAACCTGTATATGTCACCTTATATAGCAAAAGAGATTGCAGGTGTGATGAAGCTGCGGATTTTGAGATGGGGAGATGCCCCTGCATTATCTAGGTGGGCCCAGTGTCATCACAAGGGTCCTTATGAGGAGACGGGAAGATCTGACCACAGAACAGGGGCAGGGACTGTGATGATGGTAGCAGAGACCAGAGGGACAGTTTGAAGGCAGAGGAAGGGGCCACAAGTCCAGGAATTCGGGTGACTTTTAGAAACGGGAAAAGGCAAAACCATTCTCCCTTGGAGCCTTCAGAGGAGGCCCATCCTGCCAACATTTAGCTCTATGAAACCGATTTTGGACTTCTGAATAAATTTGTGTCATTTTAAGCCAGCAGGTTTGTGTCATTTGCTACAGAAGCAACAGAAAATGAATACATGCAGTCTGATGAGAATATCTCAGTCCACTCTGAGCAGGTTGTGCTGCCCATATAAGGTGAGTGCTGGTGACAGGGAGCCTGGGGTGGTGTGATTGGCTCATGTATGCAGCTGGGTCACCCCACACTGCTGGGAACCACCCAGAGGTCTCCTCCAAGCATTGTCCTCTGTCACAGCTTCATATGGAGGGAATGGGGCCACGTCAGTCTCCCACTCAGAGGTAAGGGCATCTGGGGCATCTGTGTCTCCTGAAGCATCATCAATTTGTCCCTGTGGCAAGAAGCAGGGAGTGACTGATTTGTGACACCACGCCTCACCTGTATGGCTTTCAATGACTGCTTTCCTTG